TGTACACAAGTCTAAAAGGTAAAACGGCTTTCAAGTAGGTAATAGGCTTCACTTTTCCTGACCTGTGTGAGCTTGAGTTGTCTGCTTCACAGTTGCATCTGGACAGTGAAACAAAAGACTGCCTATAATATTTGATTTTGTGTAACAAGATGACTATTTACTTTTTTCCCCCTAAGGATTAATACAGTACAGCATTTATAGCTTCAGTTAGGTAGGCCAAATACAATCAAAAGACTCAGCACTGCAATTAAAATAAATTAATGATGGTTGCCATTTAAAGAAGAAATAATATCTCTACATCCGTATACATTTGTTTGAGGTGATTGTAGCCGTATTGGTGCATTTGCGACAGAAACAATTGAGTATTGTCCGTGATACTTTTTTTATTTGCACTAACATACAATTTTGAGGACAAGCTTTCGGGGTATGTCTGTAGCCCTTTTTTTTTTTTTTTTTTTTCTCTCAATCCATTCTAACATTCTGCTTAAACTTTGTGATTTTTTAATAGTACTGCTTAGACCTTGAAGAAGGGGACATACCCCGAAAGCTTGTCCTCAAAATTGTATGTTAGTGCAAATAAAAAAAGTATCACGGACAGTACTCAATTGTTAATGTGCTTTGTTAAAACTTGTAAACTGTGAAATGCAACCAATTATTTTATTGAAATATTATTTGCTGTGCACCTAAAATAAATCCATAGAGTACTGTATGTGTTGGTATGTATGCTTTTTATTTGCAAAACCAGTTCATATTCTATGGTGATGTATTTTAGAAATCATCTCTTCCTTGTCACAGAGTTCACAGAACTTAAAAAATGACTGTGGCTAAAAAATAAAATAAAGACAGAATTAATAGCCTATTTAAAGATGAAATAAAAAACAGATTTTCCTGCAATGCTCACCTTCAAACTGTTTCCTGCAGTACTTTCTTTTTACCTCAAGGTGTCCTCACCCTCCTAGATTGAATAATGTCCAGCATTAATCCACCCACTTCTTCAGAACCCAGGCCATCCTGGATCCACTCACGGACAAGTAGAGAATCAGCATAGTGATAAGCTCTGTGATTTTGTTTCCTCCTTATTCATATAAAAACTCATTGAGATTTGTGCTGCTTCCTGCTCTCACTCTGAATATCTGTCATACAGTAACTGAGAGAGGATCATAAATCAAATTCAGGAACTTACTGTACTTATGTTGCATGTCCAGGTAGGGCCTACCCTGCCCTACCCGCGCCACCATTCACGGCTGTAAATCACCGGGTCCCTGCTGCAGTGGCGGACTGACAACTCATGGGGCCCCCGGGCAATAGGGGATCATGGGGTTCCTGTGTCCTTGCCCAAACTCAAAAAAAGCCGATGAAAAAGGTACCAGGGGCATCTCATGGGGCCCCCTACTGACAATGGACTAAATGCAATTTCTCCTGCGCTCCGGGACCCAGGCCGGTGGTGAGTAGATCAAATCCCAACAAAGCAACCACCAGGGCATACAAGGTCATGAAGCTCCAAACCAAGGCTGGGGAAGCCCAAACAGAACTGTGAAGTAAAACAAGAAGAAGCGCACCAACTTTGCGCATTACCTCAATAACCAAAATTTATTTAGTAAAAGAATGGTACTCACAAACAGCGAATAAAAACAGGCATGTAAGTCCTCCCAGGGACTTCAAAGGCAAGAGGCCAGGCCTCAGGGACGTTTTCGAGTACTGCCTCACATGCGTTCCTCCGAGAATTGAAGTCGCGTTCGGAGAGTTCCTGCACAATCGCCAACTTGTACAGATGGTAATGAAGGTCATCATGAAGAATTCGCCTCACTGAACGATCCGAAAGTCCAAGGGCAGACGCATGTTTGCGCGCAGAATGCTACGGGGATCGCAAGATTGAAGCTCTCACTGCTTCGATGTTCTTCGATGGGTCGAGGGACTCCAGCTCTTCGTCTTGTCGTACTCGCGGTTTGTCTGAACGTAGTGACCCACGTAATAATTGATTTCAAAAACTTTAGAACTACGCCTGTTACCTGAGACCACTCCCGCCCCACTATGGCCGCTACAGCCTGAATGGCATGCATTTCAAAAAAGGTAGTTATGTTGCTGCACCCTGTATATATGTAGAAATGTGCTGGTTGCTTTAAATCTTAAAGCATTTTTATCTTTTCCCTCTTTGTGAGTGACAGACAGGAAAAACAGGACTGTGCTCTGATTGGCTGTTGCTAGAGCTGAGAAGGATCCACCCATAGCAGCACTGCTGTAGCTGAACTGAGGATTAGCTGTTGAGGAAGGGAGAGAAGAGGAAGGGAGCTAAGAAGCACACGTGGGGAAGGAGACATTTTGAGTTGGGACCGCATTGGAGCACAGGCTGCTTGTGTAAAGTCACACAGGTCTCACTCTCTGTGCTGCTAGAACCCATAAACTGGGCTGGGTGTGTGTACCCAGATGAATGTTGCAGGAGGACAGTGTGAAAACCAAGGATTGTGCTGCCTGACACTCAGGATTACAGTCACTCAAGTGCATGTGTCTCTCAAAGTTTGGAGCTGCTGTAAGAGAGAGAGAGGATTTCTACTACTGTTTAATGCTATCTAGAGGACAGTCCAGAAACAGTGAGTACTTTGAGATGAAAGGGGAATTTTGATATTGCTGCATTTGCTGTTCATCTCTGGGGAATGGTCATGAGAAAGCATGCTCTCTAATTCTCAGAGTAACACAGATCTTGGAAAGCCCAAGCTGCTCAGAATTAGCTATTCCTGCTGCTGATTGATGAGAGAGCTCTGTCACTGTATATTACTGGTTATTGTCTCCTCAAAACGTGTGCTGTGGCTGAAGAGTTTTTTTAGTTCCAAATCTCTACAGAAGCTTGCTGCTCTAAATATACTGAGCAAGTGTCAATACATCAGGATTCACCTGTATGGTAAAGACTTTGTTGAAGTGTTATTCTTTTTCTCTTTTCTATTGCAATGTTCACTGGAAGGTTCTGCTTAAAGGAGACTGTGCTATCCTGCTACCCCTGGATTACAAATACTCTCCCATTCAAAGAGTGAGCGCTCTTCCATTGATTAAAGGGCCCCAACGTTGATAGACTTTAAGTTTCTTCCCACTGGCCAGTGGTTAGGTAGGACATTTCTGCTTTTAGATAGCACTGCCACAGCAAATGTCAATAAGCTGTTAAACCTCATTAACAGTTATTGTTTCATGTGTCAATGTCACTCTCATATGCCACCCTAGTCAGTGTGATACTAGTCAGTTTTTGGAGTCTTTGGCTAGTGAATTGTGACTTCTTACTAAGGGTGTTATGCAAAGTGGTATCCATGTTTATGTACATTACCTGTGTTAAATCAGCTAGTTCCTTTTCAGGGCTTGTCTAATTTCAATAAAGCCCATAAAAATATATTCTCAGAGTGTCGAAGTGTTTGGGTATAACACTGTTCAACAGGTAAAAAGTTTTGGGCATAAAATTAGCTAATCTTACATAATTTTGGGGTGCTGAAAACGAAAATGACCCTAAAAAATGTTGATTGGCTCTAGTTTCCATGATATATTCACCCATCTAATGACGTAAGCCATTCAAAATTATGATGCAACTTCAGCTGCATATTGCGCAATTGATACTGGTGACCAATAGAAAATTGCATGTATACTGAGATGAGGCAATATTAGCCTTTAATTGCATCACTTCACTGCATAAAAGCTGCAGTATCTGTAGCTGATTGTAGTTCGACAACGTCTTTACATTTTGTTTTATGCTTATATAGGCTACTCAGTAATGCCTCGAACTTGTGTGAATAAAGCAGATAATTTCTGCTATATCTGCGGTGAAATAACTTTTATCTCACAAAAAAGGAGGATAACAGGAATGATTAAGAAAGCCTACAACTTGTATTTTGGCTGCAAGATAGGAGACCAGGAGAAGAGCTGGGCATCACATATATGCTGCAATTCTTGTGGGACGGCACTGGAGCAATGGTTGAATGGAAAAAAGGCATCTATGCCTTGCGCTGTGCCAATGATTTGGAGAGAACCAACAGATCATGTTAGTAATTGTTACTTTTGTATGGTGCCTCCAATTGTAAAAGGGCTAGATAAGAAGAAAAAGTTATCTGTGCACTATCCAAATATTCCATCGACAATACGTCCAGTTCCTCATGGAGAGGGGCTACCAATTCCTAAAGCACCAGAATCCTTCGTGGTTGAGTCAAGTGAGGAAGAACCTGAAGCGTGTAGTCACGTGCAGTTGTAAGAGATAGCCCTTTCCTCGAATACAAGAGAAAAGCCAAGAGAAGCAAAACCGACACAAACTGAAGACAAAACTCGTGAGAATCCTAAGTATTAAAATGATTCAACTTAGCTTATGGCTATAATTTTTTCTTGGTAATCCTATGCAATATATTATGCCATTTAGGCTTTGTTATGTAGTCAACATCACTTGCTTTATATTTGTGGAAAGACATCTATCTATATAATTATTGTGCATTATGTAGTCATTACGCCTATAGTAGAAAACTTTCCGTTTACAGAGAAAAACTAGAGCCAATTGACAAATTTCATTGTTATATTTGAACTCAGAATGTGAAATTCATTAAGAAATGGATCCTTTTGTTTCCAAAACTGGCAAAAAATAAAAATTTGTTGAACAGTGTAATTGAGATGTCACCAGATTCATGTGGGAGCTGAACCTATATATCTAGCCAAGTAACACCCAAGGGTGTGCTACATATATATAGATACACACACACACACACCCCAACATATTTGTCAGAAAACCTTTACTTTCCTTTCAGAATCAACATGCTATCAGTAATGGCACCACATGGAAGAGAAATGTCACAAGGCCTGAGAAAGAAAATAATTTCTTTACACAAGAAAGGTGAAGGCTACAAGAAGGTCAGCAAAGCTTTACTTATCAGTCAGAATAATGTAGCAAAAGTGATACAAACATTTAGCAAAGATGGAAGTGCAAGCATCTCAGAGACGTCCAGGAGATTCACAGTTAACACATCGACAGGAGCGTCTTCTTGAGAAGGGTTGAAGAAATTCGCCATGCAAGTTCACTGAAGTTAGCTAAAGAAGTAGAAAGCCAAACTGGGGTGATTGTTTCCCATGACACAATACGGAATGGCATGCATGGGTGTCATCCACGAGGAAAGCCTCTCCTAAAGCCCGTGCACAAAAAAGCCCACCTAGATTTTGCCAGGACCCATGCTGAAAGAAGAAGGCTACTGGGACTCTGTAATCTGGAGTAATGAGAGCAAGATAAATGTTTTGGTACTGATGTCTTCAAAACTGTATGGCGTTGCAAAGGTGAGGAGTACAAAGAAAAATGCATGGTGAATTCAGTGAAACATAGTGGTGGCAGTGTCCTTCTGTGGGGTTGCATGAGTACTGCTGGTGTCGGGGAGCTGCATTTCATTGATGGTATCATGAATTCACATATGTAGTGCTCTATATTGAAAGAGAAGATGCTACCATCACTCCGTGCCCTTGGTAGTCACGTACATTTCCAACATGACAATGATCCGGAACACACATCTAAGGCCGCTGTTGCATTTCTAAAGAAGAACAGGGTGAAAGTGATTCAGTGGCCAAGTATGTCTCCTGATCTGAACCCAATCAAACACCTATGGGGAATTCTGAATAGACAAGTTTAACATCACTCTCCATCCAGCATCCAGGTTCTAAAAGAGGTCATTAATGAAGAATGTAAAAAGATAGATGTTGCAATATGTCACCATGTCACCAACTTGTTCATTCCAAAACTTGATTCTGTCCTTAAAAATCATGGAGGTCATACAAAATACTAGATGTAGTAGTTTTTATTGTAGGGTGCTTTTTTTTTTTGCATCAGCTAAATTAGATTACAAAATCTTCAGTTTTATTCAAGTTATATTATTAACCTTACTTTCATGTAATGAGCTAAACAAATGTTATATAAAACTCAGTTTTGTCAAAATTTGGAAATTGTTCTTGTGAGATATTACTTACTTTTCAAAAGGGGTGTACTCATTTATGCTGAGCACTGTGTGTGTGTATATGTCTATTTATATATATTTACATACACACAATGCTATAAAATTAAAGGAACACTTTGAAAACACATCAGATCTCATTGTGGAAAGATATCATGCTGGATATCTATACTGATATGGACTAGGTAATGAGTTAGGAACATAAGGATGCCCCATTGTTTGAATTCAGTCCTCTGTAGGTTGATAAATGTCAAAGACACCCCAAAAATCAAAGTGAAAAAAGTATGCAGCAGACTAGTACATTTTGATGAAATTTCATTGCAGCAACTCAAAATGGTACTCAGTAGTTTGCATGGCACCCACATGCTTGTATAGTGCTTTGAAAAAGTATTCATACTCTTTGAAGTTCTCCACATTTTGTCATGTTACAACAAAAAAACTAAATGTATTGTACTGGGATTTTATGTGTTGAACCAACACAAAGTGGCACATGAATGTGAAGCGGAAGGAAAATGATCAATAGTTTTCAAAGTTTTTTACAAATAATTATGTGAAAAAAGTGGCGTATATTTGTCTTCGGCCCCTTTTACTCTGATACCTCTAATAAAAATCTAGTGTAACCAATTGCCTTCAGAAGTCACCTAATTAGTAAATAGAGTCCACCTGTGTGCAATTTATTCTCAGTATAAATACAGCTGTTCTGTGAAGCCTTCAGAGGTTTGTTAGAGAACATTAGTGAACAAACAGGATTATGATGGCCAAGGAACACACCAGACAGGTCAGGGTTAAAGTCGTGGAGAAGTTCAAAGCAGGGTCAGGTTATAAAAAAAAATCCCAAGCTCTGAACATCTCACGGAGCACTATTCAATCCTTCATCCAAAAATGGAAAGAGTATGGCACAACTGCAAACCTACCAAGACATGGCTGTCCACCTAAACTGATAGGTCGGGCAAGGAGGGCATTAATTAGAGAAGCAGCCAAGAGGCCCATGGTAACTCTGGAGGAGCTGCAGAGATCCACAACTCAGGTGGGAGAATCTGTCCACAGGACAACTATTAGTTGTGCACTCCACAAATCTGGTCTTTATGGAATGATAGCAAGAAAAAAGCCATTGTTGAAAGAAACTCATAAGAAGTCCCGTTTGCAGTTTGTGAGAAGCCATGTGGGGGACACAGCAAACATGTGAAAGAAGCTGCTCTGGTCAGATGAGACCAAAATTGAACTTTTTGGCCTAAAAGCAAATGCTATGTGTGGCAGAAAATTAACACTATACCTCACCCTGAACACACCATGAAACATGGTGGTAGCAGCATCATGTTGTGGGGATGCTTTTTTTCAGCAGGGACAGGGAAGCTGATTAGAGTTGATGGGAAGATGGATGGAGAAAATACAGGGCACGCTTAGAAGAAAACCTGTTAGAGTCTGCAAAAGACTTGAGACTGGGTCGAGGTTCACCTTCCAGCAGGTCAACAACCTTAAACATACAGCCAGAGCTACAATGGAATGGTTTACGGCAAAGCATATTCATATGTTAGAATGACCCAGTCAAAGTCCAGACCTAAATCCAATTGAGAATCTGTGGCAAGATTTGAAAATTGCTGTTCACAGATGCTCTCCATCCAATTTGACAGAGCTTGAGCTATTTTGCAAAAAAGAATGGGCAAGAATGTCACTCTCTAGATGTGCAAAGCTGGCAGAGCATTACCCAAAAAGACTTGCATCTGTAATACAGTGAAAGGTGGTTCTACAAAGTATTGACTCAGGGGGGCTAAGTACAAATGCACGCCACACTTATCAGATATTTATTTGTAAAAAGTTTGGAAAACCATTTATCATTTTCCTTCCACTTCACAATTATGTTCCACTTTGTGTTGGTCTATCATATAAAATCCCAATAAAATACATTTACATTTTTGGTTGTAACATGACAAAATGTGCAAAATTTCAAGGGGTATGAATACTTTTTTCAAGGCACTGTATGCATGACTGACAATGCCAGGGCAAGCTCCTAATGAGACGATGGATGGTGTCCTGGGGTATTTTCTCCTAGATCTGGACCAGGGCATTACTCAAGTCCAGGACAGTCTCGGGTGCAACCTGGTGGGGTCAGATGGACTGAAACATGATATCACAGAGGTTTTATACTGGATTTAGGGCAGGCGAGCATGGGGGCCATTCAATGGTATCAATTCCTTCATCCTCCAGGAACTGCCTGCATACTCTTGCTACATGAGGCTGGGCATTGTTGTGCACCTAGAGAAACTCAGGACCCACTGTGCCAGCGTAGGTCTGACAATGGCTCCAAGGATTTCATCCCAATACCTAATGGCAGTCAGGGCGCGATTGTCTAGCCTGTAGAGGTCTGTGTGTCCCTCCATGGATATGCCTCCCCAGACCATCACTGACCCACCACCAAAATGGTCATGCCGAATGATGTGGCAGGCAGAATAACGTTCTTCACAGCTTCCCCAGATCCTTTCACATCTGTCACATGTGCTCAGGGTGAACCTGCTCTCATCTGTGAAAAGCACAGGGCGCCAGTGGCAGACCTGCCAATTCTGGTGTTCAATGGCAAATGCTAATCGAGCTCTATGGTGCCCGGCAGTGAGCACAGGGCCCACTAGAGGATATCAGGCCCTCAGGCCGTCCTCATGAAGTCTGTTTCTGATTATTTGGACAGAGACATTCACACCACTGGCCTGCTGGAGGTCATTTTGTAGAGCTCTGGCAGTGCTCATCTTGTTCCTCCTTGCACAAAGGAGCAGATACCGGTCTTGCTGATGGGTTAAGGACCTCTTGTGGCCCTGTCCAGCTCTCCTAGAATAACTGCTTGTCTCCTGAAATCTCGTCCATGCTCTTGAGACTGTGCTGGGAGACACAGCAAACCTTTTGGCAATGGCATGTATTGATGTGCCATCCTGGATCAGTTGGACTGCTTGGGCAACCTCTGTAGGGTCCAGGTATCGCCTCATGCTACCAGTAGTGACACCGACCTTAGCCAAATACAAAACTAGTGAAAAACAGTCAAAAAAGATGAGTAGGGAAAAAATGTCAGTGGCTTCCGCCTGTAAAACCATTCTTGTTTTGGGGGTCATCTCATGGTTGCCCATCTACTGCACCTGTTGTTAATTTAATTAACACCAAAACAACTGAAACAGATTAACAATCCCCTCTGCTACTTAATGGCTTTTTCACACAAATGTTCCAGTTGGGACTGCCTGCTCGTTTTCAAGGCGGACCCTATCAGAACCTCCATTCTCTTCTATGGAGTGGGGGGCGTAAACTGACATGTGTCCGTTTACACCCGCCGACATCCGATCCATCAAAAAGGGACGGATGGGGATCCAATTCCCCTTCCATCGGATCAGATGAAAACGGACAGGCAGTCTGTTTTCATCCGACCTCCCATTGAGGAGAGCGATCAGCTCTGTGTCTGCTCTGCAGCAGCAAAGGGGACACAGAGCTGTCATCCACTTGCTCAGCGGGGATCAGCGGAGAGATCCCCGTCTAAGCAAGTGGATCCGCTAAACGGATCCATCCCGTGTGAAAGGCCCTAACTGAGCAGATCAATATCCCAGGAGTTTCATTGACTTGATGCTATATTCTGATTAAAAAGTGTTCCTTTAATTTTTGAGCAGTGTGTATATACAGTGTGTATATGTGTGTGTATATACAGTGTGTATGTATAAATATATAAGCTCAACTGAAAAGAACAGGAACATTTTAAAACACTGAAAAAGTAATACAAAACTTGAAGAGAGAAGTTGACCAATGCACTGATAGTAATTGCTTGGGTGTATAACAAATAACTAAAAACAGTGCTAACCAGCTACTAAAATTGTGCATTAAATTGGATTGTGAATAATCCAAATGTATAAAACATTCTACTATATTTCATACTTGTCATAATGCAAACGTTGGAATAACTGTTGGCATTTTAATTGGTTGGAGTTGGTGATCATATATTCATATTGGATTGTATGCACATTCTTTATTAGTTGGTTAGCACTGTTTTGTAGTTGGTTATTTTTGGGTACCAGTAAAACCCCCATTTCTTTGGTGGTCAGTGGCATTACCATCAAAATCCTCCTCCTTTGGTATTCAGTAGTTTCATCTGCTGCTGCATTGTTGCCTCTCTGACTAGCAGATCTGTAGTATAATTTTATTGTTGGGTGATGATCAATCCCAGTGTTTTCCTAAAGCCAGGTGCTGGAATGCAGAAAGTGTTTCGACACCCGCCACTGCGCTGAAACTTTGCCAAATGACAAGTATTCTGGATTCCATGGGACAGTCTTTGGGGCACAGACCCTGCACGACTGTGCCCAAAAATTCCAGGACCATTAGGCAGGATCTAGGAAACCTAGCAACTATGTACGTAGCAGCACAGTTTTCCACCAAGCAACAGAAACAGACAAACAAAAGTGTAAGTACTATTACAATGAGAGAAAATCCATTCCAAATCCATTCCAAATAACATGCTAGACAAAACTTTAGCCTCACCTTTTTCTGTCCACCCTGTTTCTAACGATTTCCACTGAATGATGACTGTTAATGAAGTGGTAAATAAACTCATGCTCTGCATATTTATACCTAAATGCAACTTCCATTCTGCATATTTTTACTACTGCAGGATGTACAAAGGTCTAACTGTTGAAATCCGTCAATAGG